TGGCTACTGCTGGCGCCATCATTAATGTGAGAAAAGGGAATATTGAGCTTGATCTTGGTGATGTTGTCATGAACTTTGACATGGATAAGTTAAGAAGGAGTTCTAACATTGATGGTCAAACCTTTTCTGTAAGAACTTCTAATGATGAAGAGCCTGTTATGGAGCATTCAGAAGACACAACTGCTGGGCATGTCAATGAATATGATACAAGTGGACAAGTGAACAAGATGACTGTTCAAGAAGCAATGTCTGAAGTTTATGCAAAAGTTGTTGGGTTTGAGGATTGGAGTGAAGATGATATCTTCAGGAATAGGCTTGAAGAAGAGGTTCCAATGAATGCCAAGTTGCTGGAGGAAGACGTGTTTGTGATGGAGGCAAGACTTGCAGAGCTGAACTGCAGAAAAACTGCAGCAACTTGAACTGCACGTCACTGACCTGGTGACGCTCGTCACCAACCTGGACACAAAGGAGAGACGTGATATTTACTCTACAAGTCCATCCTATGTTGCCAAACCGAAAGTTCAACATTCCACAACCCAGTAACCTGCAACTAAGCAAAGAATGCTTGGTGTTTCTTTTGATGATTCTGCAGGAGAAAGAAGTGCCCCACCCCCAGTCAAAACCCGCCCTACTGATGTACCTCACTTCCTTGGAAGAATTCATGCATCTACTGCCTATAAACCACCATGGATGAGGAAACATTCTTCTCCAAGGCATTCACTACCACCTTCTGTTCCACCAGCTGTCTGAGCAACATTCAAAGTCGAGCTAATGACTTTGAACAAGCGCTTAGTGGGAGGCAACCCACTAGTACGTTTTCTTTTTCATATACTTATTTTAGTTTTCTATTACATAGCTAAAAACACCAAAAAACAAGAGAAAAAAAAAAAGAGAGTCAGTTTGTCAGTTTGCTTTGATGATGTCTTGTTAGTTTGTTGGACCATGGATTATGCTTTGTTTGGATGTTTTTGATGTGTGTTTTGAGTGCTCCAACAGTCTAACTTCGGAGTACACATGATGACACAACGTTTAAGCATCCCACTTGATGATTCTGAAGTATCAGACGTGGTGACGCTCGTCAGCAGATCCCCCACGAGGTACCACTTTTCTGCCTTGGTTCTTCGACTTCTCATGCTTCATATTGACCAACTCTTGGCTTAATAACACTAGGGACAGTGTTGTTTAAGTCTGGGGGAGGTAGTTACTGACGTTGTGTGCTTTTTGTCATGTTTATAAGTCTTAAAGTTGAGTCAAAAACCTGTTTTTATAGAGTCAAAATTTTGAAATTGTCAGTTTTTCTTGGAACTAACCATAGGACGTTTTTGCTTATAAGAACCATTGCCACAGTAGTTGATTACAAGTCTTACTAAGTTGAAAGTCATAGGTAGATCAGTCTAGCAATGAAGGTTTAGGTTCTTAGAGAATCTGGAAAATTTGCTGTTATCTCCACCTTAATGAACTTTAAACTTCTTATCTTGGTGATTGATTCTTATTGATCTTGATTCTCTCTTTCAGCACTGACAATAAAGTTAAGATGCAGTCTCTCTTTGATCTTCCCTGATGTAGTTTTTAAGAGTTTAAGTCCATAGAATGGTGTATTCATGACCCTGTCTCCTCACAAGGAACAACAGTAATGAACACACTCAAGAACCTGTCTCCTCACAAAGAACACAAGTATTGAGTAGCACCATATCTTAGACTGTAAAAGTTGAGAAAAAGAAGTGAAAAATCGAAAATATCCAAAGTAAAAGATCAAGGGAAGAGAAAATAGGAGAGCTGTGTTGAGATTGATTTGTTCAGTTGTTAGGAAGGGAAAAGAATCTGTAAAGTGATTGAGATGATAGAGCCTTGATGAGATTTCACATTTAGATAAAAAATAAGGAGTTAACAGTAGAAATTTCGGATTTCTTGAAGGGATTTGGACTGCACTTGAGAGATTTGCTAAGCTTGTGATGATTAGACTGAAATTTGATCTTGTGTTGACTCTGTGGTATGTGGATTCGAAAGTTCAAACCAGTGTGGTGTTCCTGATGATTGACTAATTGTTTCTTGTTTTCAAACCTCGACCCTGTTCTCTGTCTGATGTTTGCTTGAGGGCAAGCAAAAGCTAAGTCTGGGGGAATTGATATATCATGGTTTTATAGTTTTTAACCATGATATAAGTCCTTTTTATTGAGTCTTTTTGGTCGTTTTAGAGTCCTAGAAGAGTCTTTGCAGGTTATAGCATGTCTGGAGCATAATTGGAGATATTTGAGCCTTTTGGAGCATTGCAAGTTGAAGCCACGAAGTATCCAAATCGGGAAGAAAAATATGCATATGGGTGACGCTCGTCACCACTTTTGGTGACGCTCGTCACCCAGAAAGGAAGGGGTCGTGGCTGTTTTCTAAAAGATAGAGGATTATTTGCAGTTTTGGTCCAGAAGTTCTAGTATTTGCAAAAAAACCCCAGATCGTGTTTTAGCTTGTATATTAGGTTTTTCAGCCATTCTTTTGGCAGATATCTTGTATCTTATTATTCTAGAGAGCTTTAGAGAGAGATTTGTAGCAGAGCTTTTGGAAAGACAAATCAGACTCCTCCAGAGCATATTTTGAACTCCTTTACTTTCTGTTTCTTATTTCTTTTATGCAATCTATTCTTTTCATGATGTTTTCACAAATCACCATGTCTGAGTAGTTTGTTAGTTAAGTTAGGGCTTTTCAAAGGTTGAAGAAGAGTTTGTAGAATTGCTAAAAACTTATAGGAAATTCATTGGTTCTTCATATGTGCTTGCATTCATATCGATTTCTTAGACACATCATCTGGATTTCGAAACCCTAGGTTTTTGATAGATGTGAGAGCATTATTAATCACCTGAACTAGTATTAGATGAGCAAAACACCTATTTGCAAAGAGATTTGGCTTAGAAGTTTTGTGAACAATTGAACCTGATCATTACTACATGTTTAGGTTGTTAGGGTTTGCAAAGAGATTTGAAACTCTGTGATTTAGATATAGTTAAATTCTACAATGAGAATTGATTAGTTATACCTTTGTGATTCATGTTCAAGACGGTTCTTAATCATTCCTGATTTCATGCATTCTACATTCACGGATTCAACCTGCGAATTGTCCTGACTTAACGCCTTTAGCCCTCTGAACTTTAAGAACAAGCATAAAACGCCCACTTGCATTTATTTTACTGTTTTGCATTACATTCATTACTTATTGCTTAGCTTAATCCGAACCTGAACTCTTTAGTGTAGTTTACTTACTCCCTTGGGCTTCGATAACCCCTTGTACTACAACTGCTTTTGTTGTGCACTTGCAGTAGTTTTATTTGGGTAAAACCTGAGCCCTATCATAGAGCATGAACCTGGCGGCTCCACATGATGAAGTTGGAAGCAGTGAGCTTCGTGACGTTTGTCATGTTGACGTTGAGGTGGTTGGTGGTGTTGGAGACAGCAATGGTCTCGGATATTGTCGGGATTGACATGGTGGATAGGAAAAAGAGGCGGCTAAAAAAAATTGTGTTTTTAGGGTATTTAGGTTTTGGAGGCTCTGATACCATATAAGATAATATGCTGTATAATTCATTAGATGGAGGGTTTACAGTATATGTAGTGACGATACAAGAGTGATAAGGAAACTAATAACTACAGTATATACAGTTTCTATACTTATCACCTACAACAGATAGTTAATAACACGTCTTTCGCCGTTACTTTGTTATGACAGTTTTCAGAGTTTTAAGATTCACAATACGAGTAGTGTCAAAACCAAACCAGAGTCATAAATATTTATGACATGAACTTTACTTTACTACTATGAGATTGGAGCAATCACTAGCTATTAGCTGTAAATACTTACCACTCCAATAATAGCAGCTTGTGTTCCACAGAAACAAAACGAGAGCAAAAGGTTAACAAAGTTCGCAATCCAAAACGGACCAAAGCAATAGTAGCAATATTCTTCTAATGCCTTGTCTAAGCAGAAATACAGCACATAGATCCATGACAGTCTCTGATCTGTACCTCGGTGAGGTGTGGGGATGTGTCACATCCTTCGAGCTGATCTACAACTGTCTTGTAGTCTTCAGGGAGCCCTTCGAGAACTGCTTCGATTTGATCCTCATGATCAATCGGCTTCCCGAGGAGAGCAAGCTGATCAAACCGAGTTGTCAAGCCTTGAAGGTATTCATCAATAGATTTTGTATCTTTCGTCCATGTCTTAATTTCTTGCTTGACTTGTTTTATGTGACCCCTACTTGGTTTCGCATAAGTGGACGAGAGAGTAGTCCAGATCTCAGCCGATGTTGTTGCCGTTGAGAGAAGAGATTGGACTGTGGGAGTAATGGCGCCAAGGAAGGCACTGTAGATCAGGCTATCCTGTCGTTTCCATAGAGTGTATTTGATGTTGGAGGTGACAATACCATTTGTGGTGATTGTGGGCGATGGTATAGCAACAGATCCATCAATGTATCCGGCAAGATCGTATCCATCAAGTAGAGCATGAACCTGGCGGCTCCACATGATGAAGTTGGAAGCAGTGAACTTCGTGATGTTTGTCATATTGACGTTGAGGAGGTTGGTGGTGTTGGAGACAGCAATGGTCTCGGATGTTGCTGGGATTGACATGGTGGATAGGAAAAAGGAGGCGGTTAAAAAAAACTTGTGTTTTTAGGGTATTTAGGTATTGAAGGCTCTGATACATATAAGATAATATGCTGGATAATTCATTATATAGAGGGTTTACAGTATATGTAGTGACGATACAAGAGTAATAACTACAGTATATACAGTTTCTATACTTATCACCTACAGCAGATAGTTTATAACACGTCTTTCACCGTTACTTTGTTAAGACTGTTTTCAGAGTTTTAAGATTCACAATACGAGTCGTGTCAAAACCAAACCAGTCATTAACATTTAAGACATGAACTTTACTATACTGTTATGAGATTGGAGCAATCATTAGCTATTAGCTGTAAATACTTACCACTTCAATAATAGCAGTTTGTGTTCCACGGAAACAAAACGAGATCAAAAAGTTAACAAAGTTCGCAATCTAAAACGGACCAAAGCAATAGTAGCAATATTCTTCTAATGTCTTGCCTAAGCAGAAATACAGCACATAGATCCATGACAGTCTCTGATCTGTCATGCAATAGCGTAATCTTCTCATATGGTTCAACTTGAGAATTCAACATGAGTACTATTGTATGACAGAAAACATAATCGTCATTTACTTTAGCTCAATCCTCCCCACAAGCTTCAGCATATTGAACAGTTTCCCCCAATACAGCATCGTCATTTTCAATTTCCTACCTCTTCTATCATCATCATCGTAATGATTTTCTTGCTTTCATTCTTTATATCTCTTTGTTCTGCAGCTGGATCGAACTAGAAACGCCTCCTGCAATAAGAGAAAGAAATAACAGTTGAGGAAGAGCAACATTAAGAGACAGCCACGGTATCACAACCATCTAGAAGATGCATACGTAGCTAGATGTTCCACCTAGACCGAACCAAATCTTGAAAAGGGTATTCTAACCCGGAGGTTCTTGAGCTGTTCTTTAAATTATCTGCAGAGAGAAAAGAAAAAACAATTTTTAGCTACAATGAGGTTGAAACTGATAAAGGAACCAAAAAGAGATGAAATGATTGTTCAATCATCAACGCTTGTTTCATGCTTACACGCATTTGCTTCCTGCTTCTTCTTGCCTCTGCGTCGTTCTCTCCAGACCTCTCGAAGCTTTCCCAAATATCATCCAGAGATGGAGATTCCTCCAAGAGTTGTATACCGCCTTCTTTTATCTGTATCATTTTCTTCTTGTGGTCAAGGCAAAAAAACTCAAACTGCACATCGCTAGAGTTCAACCCAGCTGGAGGATCACTGAATCCATCCAAGGAGAACTCGAGACCAAATATGATGAGATGATTCGTCTTAGAGTGTATGTTTGTCTTACAGCTGAAATATTTAGTATCACTTCCACCTCTGAAAAGCCAATTTACCCCAAAGTAAAACCAACATACTCTTGGTTCAACCACGATGCAAGCTTTAAATCTCAAGATTTTTTGGAAAGAGCAATCCGAGGTAAAGACACGGTTAGGAAATTTCCATCAACCCGATGAGTGAAATATGCAGGAAATTCTTCACCAGGTAAGATCGCATACGCACAGTCTGAATGTAGAATGAATTCTCTCGCTTGGCAATTCAGTTTCAAGCAGTTCATAAATTGGAGAGCCATCTATGGTTGGTCGAAGGAGCCATATACACTCTTAAGTGATTCGCAATAATTTGCTGTTAGATTGAAGAGCGATGCAGGGAGCTCTGGCAGTGACACGAGACTCCTGCAATTACCGAGCTCAAGATCCTTTGGTTGAATGGAAGTCTAGGTGTCTGGAAGTCTCTCAAAACTGTTACCAGACATGTTGACTCTTATGAGAGAAGTGCAGATCTCCTCAGGATGGTTCTGCCAGCTATCTTTACTCAGTGCTTTACATTCTGAAAAGTCTACCTCCTGGAGAGATTTCAGTTTAGATATGTTTGGGGAGATCTTTTTCAACTTGTTGCAATCATTCATCGATAGGTAAGAGAGCCCAGTGATTTTTTCGATCCACCAAGGAACTTCCTCAATCGCAGTTCCATCAAGATAGAGATCTGAAATGCTTTTTGAAATGTCTGGAAAACTTCTCAACCGTGAGCATCCACCGAGATTAAGGTAATCGAGAGATTCCAAGTTGATGCCGATTGGAAGAACCTCAAGATATATACAACGTTCCCTTCAAATTTTGGAGATGCCCAATAGAGGAAGGAAGCTTGGTCAAACTCGCGCAACCGCCAAGATCCAATGTCTCAAGATTTGTAGCGAAAGCAAGATCTGGGATTTCTCTTAGGTGTAAAGAACCCCGTAGATTAATACACTTGAGACTTTTAAGAGGCTGAACAGAATAAAATGGTAAAACCACATATCAAAATCTTGCCAACAACAACATTAATTCCCAAACTTATGCTATATCGTCATATCTTACTTACTAAATTTCAAAATATGTGTCTCTCATCATTAATGGTATCACCCCTTTGATGACAGCAACAATGAAAAGACAAACTAGATGAAAATCTGACGCATTAATAAAACTTCTAATTTTGGATGTAACAAAAACTCAATATGTACCTGAATTCCACTCCACAGCTCTTCAAGCTTGCTAGCTACCATTATGAGTTCAACGAGGCACTCTGGAATGAAGTGGGAAGGCATGCATCTCATTGGAAAGCCCTCCCAATGCAGTAATCTGAGTTTAGGAGACAGATAATCAAGGCCATGAGGCAGGAGCACCTTATCTTCTTTGAACCCCAAGTTTGTGTAGAATTTCAAGAACTGGAGATTTTTCATTTCACTGAATCCTCTCTAACTTATTAAAAGCTCCTTGATTTCTGACATGTCCAACGATATCCCCACAACGCTTCTAGTCCCCTGAAACAAGTATCTCGATAGAAACAGGTTACCCTAAAATCGACTACCATTTATGATTAACCAAATGACATGCTTGTTTAAAACTTACAGTGTTTTCCGCAAGGACTTTACAAATATCCATACAATCCACCAAAAACCGATGTTGTCCAGGCTCAATGCACTCCACAGACGATTCTCTGCCCAAGTGTTGTTGCCAATGGTGCATCTTAATAATTCCATGTTCTGATATATGTATGAGAGATTTCTCAGCTAAGATTTGAAGCCCACGTCTAATATATACGCTTGTAAGCTCACGCAATTGGGTTAGATATTCAACCGTACAATCATTAAATAAACAGGCGATCTGAAGAAATAAGTCTTTATCTCCATCCCATAACTCATCGTACCCGACTCTGAATATGCTCACAATTTCTCCATCCAAACTATTTTTGAGCCGAGGCAACGCTTTCAACCAAGCCGCTTTGTCCATACCTCGGAAGTAAGAACCATAAACACTGAGAACCAAAGGAAGACTTCCAGCAAGCTTTACAACTTCAAATGCAAGACTCATAAAATCATCAGGTGGATAGTTTTGCGCAAAAGCAGAGTGGCAGAACATCTGAAGAGTTTGCTTTTTAGATGGTAAATCCACCTTGTAAATATGATTAATCCCATGGGCCTTCAGAAGACGTAAATCTTTTGTAGTAATAATAATTATGCTCCCTGGACCAAACCAATTACTATCTCTAGCCAAGGTCTCTAGTACCGATAGATCATCCACACCATCCAGAATGATAAGAACATTCGTATCGCTTAGCCTCTCTTTCACCGCACCTAAATGATGTACCCTTACATCCTTGTGGTTCATAATTTGGGATAAAAGTAGTTTTTGTAAATGCAACTTCGTGTCGTACTCATCTGTGTGGCCTCTCTTTTTATAAACATTTAAAATATCTATGAAAGCGGAAAGCTGGAATTATGAAGAGATCTCATTATATAATTTTTTTGCAATGGTACTCTTACAAATCCCTTGGGGACCCCAAATTCCGATCATCCTCACTTCTGCGGAATCCAAGTGCAGCAGCGGATTCATTTTTACAATATGAGTCTTCATTCCAACCAAATCATGGAAATTCTTCGATGGCGTACAGTTCAGTTTGTTTGAGACAAAAGTGATGATTTCTTCAATCATGTTTGCTTCCTTATCCCTAACAAGGAAAATGATTATTATTGGACATAAATTCCAGAATCCAAAAATGCATATAGCATTACTACTTTTAGCAAATTTTTAATCCAAACGCGCAAAAGATTTGTGACAGTATTGATACTTTTTGCATTAACAGTCACAATACAGACAATACATTTGTGTCATATCTAATAATGACTGAAGAAAACGCACCAATTTAAATAATGGAATCCCTTAATGCTTGCTATGTTGCTTAAAGCTTGCTGCCACTGCTGTTTCTCTCATCCTATGTTTTGCCCTTATAAATCTGTTTGACGTGCCTTCCAAATTCACCGGTCTGTTTCCAAACGTCCGAAGGATCAACATCATAGAAAATTGGTAGCACTATCTGACGCAACTCTTGACTGCACTTTGCAATCTCCACCAACTCGTTCAGAAGCCAGCTTGAAGAGGCATACTACTTGGAGAACAGAACAATCAAGTTCCTCGACTCTCTTATTGCTTGTACAAGCAGAGAGCTACTCAGCTTGCCCCTGTCCGTCTCATTGTCTTTAAATGTGATGACTGATTTATGTTTGAGTGCCACAAGGAAGTGGCTGAGGAATTTTTTACCGACATCTTGTTCACTAAAACTGGGGTAAACATCGTATTTCCAACCGCGAGGCGAAGAAAAGGCCATATAAACTTTCTCAAAGTCTCTTGTTAAATCTTTAGAGCTACCAGGCAGCATGGATTGTCTATGGAGAATTTCTTTACCCATTTTTCGTAGCGAGCGATGCATCACGATTTCCCCTTTGGAAGATACACGTATGAGAGACCTATTGGCTAAGACTAACGTCCACGTCAATGCTAGCAATAAGTGGTGCCACCAGATTAACATCCTCATCATTGAACAAACATGCTACGTAAAGAAATAATGCTTTGTATATATCTTGTAAACCCTCATAGCTGACTCTCAGAACTTCTTCAACTTTATTACCAGAGAACTCAAGTTGATCCAAAGACAAAACTGTTGATATATGCTCAAGACTTGTATTGCCAGTTGAAGCAGTTATTACATAGACTTCACATCTTGTCACTGTGCAAGTATCATCTAGACACTTCTTCTGTTTGTCGACAGGAAAGAATTCAAATACAACTAAATCAGCTATGATATTGGGATCATTTCCATCACCAGTATTTGGACGCATTTTAACATCATAGAAGACAAACATATGATCCTTTTGGACTTTTCGAACACCTTTCCCTCATCCCAACAATGCAAATTTCTTTCTATCCTATGAGAGTGGCCTTCTTTGTTTTTTAATCTGCAAACACAACCAATGTCTAAACCTGCAGCATCATAGTAACCTTCCGAAAATGCAACTTCGACTACCATAGAAAATCCCATAAGCGTACTCTTCCAAATAGGATTCAGCTGTGTCATTACAGAAGATCCTAATTGCACATAAAGCATGGAATTTTGATTCGCATGTGAGGGTGCAAAAAAGCTGAAAGCCAAAGCTTCGTAGAGTTCCTGTTGCAATAGTAAAAAGTAAGTCAGCTATGATATGAGATGGGCTGTGTATACATATCAGGATATGAGAAAGGGAGAGAGAGCGAGAGAGAGGGGGAGAGAGAGGGGGAGAGAGAGGGAGAGAGAGAGGGAGAGAGAGAGGGGAAGAGAAAAGGAAAGAGAGAGAGAAGGGGAGAGAGGGGGAGAGAGGGAGAGAGAGGGGGAGAGTCACCTGCGGATGTTCGCAGGGTATGTTCTTTACATCACCCATTTGACTAAAAAATAGTTGACCACTTGTGGAGATAGATCAAAACAATTACTGAACGTGTAATGTATAGGAAAATGCTCGCAGTCTAAGCAGATTGATTTCAGAGAGACACAACCATGTGCATACAAGAGTTCTAGACTTTGAGGAAGATGTGGCACTTCTCTTACCGCAGTGCCAGCAAGTTATAACTCTTTCAGGTTTCGGGGGAAACCCTGAATTCTCGAGATTTGAGCAGCCAGACAGATCAAGAACTTTGAGAAATTCTAAATTACCCATGTTCGGCAGACTTTGCAAACCAGAACAATCTTTCAGATCCAAGCAAATAAGCTTGCCAAGATCTTGACAAGATGAGCTAGACTTCACCAGACCTGTTATACGCTCAAGTTTCAAGGCATCTGAAAGACCCTGGAATTCTGCTAGCAGACTCTCAAGCTCTCCGCCATTCGGCTTAACAATGGAAAGTGGTAATCCTCTTATTCCAGTTCCCTGGGGATGCAGTGTCTCAAGATTTGATGGAACCTCCGGGAAACTTTTGATCTCTGTGCAACCTGAGAGATTTAGGACTCGTAAATGCAGCAATTGACCTGTGGCTGGGAAACTCTGCAGTCTCATACAACCTTGGAGATCAATTACCTTAAGATTTTGAGCGTCAATTAAAAGATCGCCAATATCAACTAGTTGCTGGGCATGACAAAACCTGATCGTCCTCAACATCTTCAGGTTCTGAGGAAAAAGAATGTCAATAATTAAAAAGTATGTCAAGTATTGATAAGGGTGGAAGACACATATCAGAGTTTTCTTACCTTGGTCCCATCCCAAAGTTTCTGAAGCTGGCTGTACGGCATATTGATTTCAACGAGGTTAATAGGATCAAAATTTTGAAGCAAACATTGCAGAGGATAGTTCTCCCAGTGGAGGAGGCTTAGCTCCTTAGGAAGAGAAAGGAGGAGGCCCTTGGGAAAATTGAATACAGGATGGATCTCAGAATTGGAACTGTAAATTTTTAGCAATCTAAGGTTCAACATATTCTCAAAAGCAGTAGGCTTGACATCAAAACCTAAGTTTGATGTGTCAAGGAATATGCCTTCAATTTCTTCAGTGCCCTGAAAAAATATTGGAAGTCTTAGGACGTTGCTCATATTCAAAAAGTAAGTTAAATATGAAACTATTGAAACATAACATTGTTTCTCCATTAATTATTTCTCGGCCAACATCCTGAATCAGATTATGCATTTGCAAAAGATTTTCTGAAATAGTAACCATACACTTGTCAACAAGAACATCGACTCCAACATGAGGAAAGAAATTACAACTCTAGAAGTTGCATTACGTAGTCCACATTTTCTCCCCTGAAGAAACAAGCAATGTCCAGAAAAATGATCTTTTCACTGTCAGTGAGTGTGTCATAGCTTCTCTTGACTGCATCAACAATCTCGGACGGAAGGCATCGCTTCAGTTTGTGAATTGCATTCTGCATTTCTGATAGTTTTGTCTTACCTTTCAGCCCTCTACCATAAATTTTGAGAGCTAATGGGTTTCCATTAGAAAATCCAATCACTTTCAGTGACAACTCATGCAGGTTCTGCTTTCCCATATCCTTTATAGACGAACACAGCATGAAGAGCTCCTTTCTCATTTAAACCTTGAACCTCATATATTTGATTGACTCTGCAGAGGCGAAACACCTGTTTATCTCTAGAGGTTATGATGATCAGGCTTTTGGGACCGAACCAGTCAACCCTTGCCAGAAAAGACTCTGAGGGTTGCGCACGTCATCAAGAACTCTTTTATTGTTTAAATTTTTTTTAAGCAAGCTCAGTTTCGTAATGGTACCGCCAGCACCAGGCTTTTCTTTCAGGAATTGCTCCTCCAGCAAACGATAAAAACCCTTCTCATGAAAAACTTTGTCATAGTCTTCGATAAAACAGGAAGCATCAAATTCGTTAGACATTTGGTTAAAAACCGCTTTAGCAAGTGTCGTCTTGCCAATGCCCGGCATACCCCAAATCCCAACACAATGGATGCCCAACCGTTGCTTGCAAACCATGTTCTCTATCTCCACCAGCTTTGAGTAGATTCCAATTCGTTCCTTATAAAAGAGCTTCTCATACACATCTCTGACAATCTCTTTTACAAGTTTTGAGTCACTGCATTCCTTCCTGCGTCATAGTTGCTCAAGTAAAAAATATAATTTATAGCCTACCAAAACGTTTTGCCAAATTTAACATGAGGAAATGGACGGATTATCACCAACAGCAGAATAAATTTGTGTCCGTTGAATTTGTTTTGTTTTACAGTCTTGTTTAATAGTAATACAAACAAAATAAGTAAAATATAAGTTTTGCTGTTTTGAAGAATTGAGGAATTAGAAGACCTCTAAGTGTAGCAGAAGGTTTCCAGTTATACAGAAAACATCAAAGACTAAAAAAGAAAGGGCTGAGATAGCAGGCTGGTCGGTTCTCCAGGACCAATTTTCCGTATCGTCAGCTAAGAAATGAGTAAGGTTTTCGTTGTTGTAAAATAGAGAGTGAAAGGGCAAAACAGGGATTGTGTGAGAAAGAAATCAAAGATGGTTTGTAAAAACTTCATGAACTTGATTTTAGTGGATTTTCGATACGTTTCCGGCGAGATATAGTATGTCACTATGATATATGAACTAGTTATAACTTATATCTCTCTACCATTTACTTTAAGTATTCCATTTCTTTCTTCTTTAACAAATGTTGTTTTTACAAGAGAGAATAAAAGCCAGTTTACAACCTCTCAAAATTAACATCAGAACTCCAAGGTACAACCTAAGGGGACATGAATTCATCGAGAAAGGTTCACAAATTGTATCAGGAAGAACTGAAGTGGAAAAGGGGATTGCATGATCTGGAAAGAGAAAATAAGTGTGCGTCTTGATATCTTGGGTCTGTTAGATGGTTTGATGGATAAAGAAACCTCTGAAGTTGCAGAAACAACCACAGAAGTAAGTGGAGAAGCCTCTTTGACAGATGTTGTAAATCAAGCCAAGAAAAGAAGAGAAAGGGAGTTTTGTTGTTTCTTAGTGCCTTCAATCACGCTCCTACTCGACTAAAGTGTGGAAGATTAAAAGAACCAAGCAAGGGGTTTCAAGAACTAAGATCAGAAGTGCAGCAGAAGGCTAAAGAAAACATCAAAGGCTCCAAAAGAAGTCGAGGATTCTATAAAGCATCACACAAACTTGTGTGCTCTGCAGGTTCTCGTGATCTGATAAAAGAAAGGGAGAAACAGAGGTTGTGTGAAAGAGATCAGAAATCTCATCAGTAAAAGCTTGAAGAACTTGATTTCATTTTGACATCTGATATCGTTCGAGAACAAAATTGAGTTTGAATCCTAAATAAAGCTTGTAATTTCAGTCGTAATCTCAAAAGAAAAGCCTAATTAAGAGAAATTAAGCGAATAATTTAGCAGGCGGATCCGCGGATATATGAAAACAACTAGAATACCTCGACTTGTGGAATGGTGATATGCCGCTTATCTTCTGCAAGGCGCGACGCCATTCGACCTCTAATGTGCTGACGCCGTACAGCACAGGAACCACCACCTGATCTTCGTTCCTCTGGCACTTGTGAACCTCCACGAGCTTGATAAGGCTTGCTGTGGTGGGCTCGCGGTCTCCGGGTAAAACCATCACAGAAACCCTAGCTCTCTCGACCATTGCCAGAGCCTCCTCCGAGAGCAGATCGTTGCTGTCCACGAACACATCGTTTACTATGCGTATTCGCCGGAGAGCTTCAGAGAGGTGGCTGACGAAGGAATACCGAACCTCGTCTACGCAGCTGATGTAGACGATTTGCTCAGCCTTTTCACAATCAGTCATGATTTCGTGCCTCTAGTTAGAAATACCAAACCTTCCACTTCGCTGATGTGGCGATATATACCGGTCGCATTTGAAATTATCTCTGCAATTTGCTTGGGATTGCCGAGCGATTTCATGGACAGGTTTATGGGTTCTTGCAGAGTTGGTTGGATGTTTGCGGCATTCCAATGTCAACGTTCAAAAAGATTCTTCCAAGGAAAAATACAGTAAGTCTTTTTTATTTTGTTTTGCTGATACCAACAATTTTAACTTATTTTAGTGGGCAACTGGGCTCTGCTCTTACCATATACTCCCTGTTCCATAATATAAATTATTTTGGGATAATTGTTTTGTAACATAACATAAACTTAAAATATAGAAACCAACAAAAAAAATAAAAAAATATAATATCATTGAAATTTAAGCAAGCTACAAGCATGTCTTCATGTGCTCTTTTTGTTTTGAGCAATTCTCATGGAAACAAATTTTGAAGACAAAAATAATAGAAAAGCTAATTTTTTAAAATTTTTTAATTTTTTATTTGTTTTTTTCGATTTTGTCTTTTAGAAAAGTTTTCATGAATGTATTTTTTTATTAATATTTTATGATTTTTTAGGAAGGTCTTCCAAACACTAAAATCCAATATCGTTTTATATGATTTAGAAAACTTTCTCAAATATTTAAAAATTTCCTGAATGGTAGAAAGGCTTCATGAATTAAGTAAAAGATATTTTTAGAGGTGTATCATATGCAAACCACTATCCACTTAATCAAGATAAGCAAAACGAAAAGGTATGATATCAAAATAATTTAATATAACATATTTGGTAAAGGCTTCCTGAATGTATAGGAAACCTTCCTACAGGTCTTCCAGAACCAAATCATAGCTAAAATCTACAATTTTCTCCCACCTCGAAAACATAATCACCCAATCACTGCAGATCTCGCTGACTGAGCTGTTTCGGCCAAATTGGAATCTTTTATGCCAGATCTGTCGCCCATAGTAAACTCTGTGGTGGTAGAGAAGAACAACATATTTGGGAAAGTCTTCCTTAATATATAGGAAAACTTCCTAAAAGTCTTCCAGAACCAAATCATACCCAAAATCAACAATTTTCTCCCAACTCAAAAACCTAACCACCTAATCGCCGCAGATCTCGCCGATTGAGCTTTTTTCGGCCAGATTGGAGTCTTCTATGTCAGATCTATCACCTACAGTAAACTTTGTGGTGGTAGAGAAGAACAAACCTGGAATTTGAAATCAGATGTGAAACGATTCATCTCCTTGATATCAATCTCAAGAAAAATATCACTATTGATGAGATCCTAAAGGATCATGTGGTTCTCTCCCTTTTCCGATGATGAATGGAGATTATATGAGATGATCTGATGATGAACGGAGATTTGATTGGAGATGATACGAATCGGAGACTTGGTGGGCGATTTTAGTAATGGTGGATGACGGCGTTGGGAGTTTTAGTCTAAAGATGAAAATTATAAAATAGATTTTTAGTTTCTTAATTAAATCAGCGTGTTATTTAAATAAGGATAATATAGTCAGTTTATGTGAAACTAAACATGCAGGAATGATCAGATTCAATTGTTTACAAAACTCTTAAGTCAAACCTAACTTAACTACAATCTCTTCATCAACCCTTGAAAAGCCCTAACTTAACTAGCAGATTACTCAGACATGATCATGGAATCACAAAACATAACTGAATAAAATTGCATTAAGAGAAGGAGTAAAAGAATATAGGAGTTCGAAATCTTTTCAAAAGAGTACATGATTTGTCTCCCCAAAAAGTTCTGAATAAATCTCTCTCTAAGCTCTCTGAATTCTCAAAAACTAAGATCATAGCCAACAACGGCTGAAAACCCTAATAAATAGAGGCTAAACACGATTTGGGGTCTTCTTGTAAATAATGGAACTTCTAGGCCAATTCTGAAAATATTGCTCCATCTTTTAATAAACAGCCACGATCCTTCCTTGATGGGTGACGAGCGTCACCAATGGTGGTGACGAGCGTCACTCTACGGCATACTTTCTGCTTCGAGCTTGGTACTTCGTGGCTTCAACTCAGAATGCTCCAAAAGGTTCCAATATCTCCAATTATGCTCCAGACATGCTATAACCTGCAAAGACTCTTCTAGGACTCTAAAAAGACCAAAAAGACTCAATAAAAAGGATTTATATCATGGTTAAAAACCATAAAAAACCATGATATATCAGGGAGATACGCTGGAGCATAAGAAACAGCATCTGATGGTATGGAAGAGAGTTTGCACATCAAAACGAGAAGGCGGACTGGGGATTCGTCGCTCCCACGAGATGAATAAAGCTCTGCTCGCTAAGATTAGTTGGCGACTCCTTCAGGATAAGGAGAGCCTCTGGGCTAGAATACTGCAGAGCAAGTACATGGTGGCAGAGCTGAATGACTTATCTTGGACCACCGCGAAGGGCACGTGGTCATCTACATGGCGGAGTGTCATGTCAGGAATGTGTGAGGTTGTCGTACTAGGTGTGAAATGGGTACTTGGAGATGGTTGCAGGATCCGTTTCTGGAAGGATAAATGGTTACTTGACACGCCACTAGTAGACATGGCAGAGACAGAGGTTCCAATACAGATGGAAGATTTGATGGTTCGAGAGTTTTGGAGAGATGGGATGGGATGGATATTTCCTCTGTTGTCAGGCTACTTGTCTCTTCATGTTCGTTTGCAGCTTGCAGCAGTAGTCCTGGACAATGTTACGGGAGCGAAGGATAGGATCAGTTGGGGACATAGTCAGAACGGTGAATTTATAGTAAAGTCAGTGTATGCGTTCCTCACGAGACAGGAAATATCAGGACAATGTCTGAAAGCTCTGTTTGATCGTGTATGGTCCGTTGCAGCTCCATAAAGAATCAGAGTTTTTATCTGGTCAGTAGCAAACCAGTTAATTATGACGAATGGGGAGAGACTAAGAAGACACCTCACGGACACGGGAGTATGCCAGGTCTGTAAAGGAGGAGATGAAACCATTATACACATCTTGAGAGACTGTCCCGCAATGGAAGGTATATGGAACAGAATTGTCCCAGTACGAAAACATAGGCTCTTCTTTGAACAGTCTCTGCTTGAGTGGTGCTTCGAGAATTTAGGAGATCACTCGGAGAGCTTTGGTTGTCTGTGGTCAACGATCTTCTCAGTTGCACTCTGGTGGAGCTGGAAATGGCGGTGTGGGAATGTTTTTGGTACAAATGCTAAATGTCGGGACCGAGTAAGATTCAACAAGGACCTAGCTAAAGAAGCCTTTGAAGCTCATCTAAAAGTTTGGGGGAATGCTCAGATGAGTGCCAGAGTGGAGCTCTTAGTTGCGTGGAAACCACCATTAATTGGTTGGACAAAACTCAATACAGATAGAGCATCTAGGGATAATCCGGAACCTGCAACAGCTGGAGGAGTTTTAAGAAATGCAGAGGGAGAGTGGTGCGGGGGATTTACACTGAATATTGGCATATGTTCTGCTCCATTGGCAGAATTATGGAGAGTTTACTATGGTTTGTTTATTGCTTGGGAGAAGAAAGTCCCAAAGCTGGAGATTGAAGTGGATTCGAAAGCAGTAGTGGGTCTGCTAAACTCAGAGGTAAGCGATGTGCATCCTCTGTCATTCCTAGCACAACTGTGCTACGGTTTTATTAGAAAGAACTGGAAAGTCCGAGTCTCGCATGTTTTCAGAGAAGCAAATAGACTAGCTGATGGATTAGCGAATCTAGCTTTCGCACAACCGATTGGCATCAGGATAATGGAATCTCCTCCTGAAGAGCTTTAGGCTGTAGTGACGGAAGATAGTAAAGGTTTTGAGATAGTTCGAAATGTACATTTGTAATAGTACTCTTGAGTTTGAATAAAACTGGGGACATCATCCCCATATTAGTACTAAAAAAATAAAGCATGCAGAAATGCTCTACTTTCAAGATGTTCTATAAGTATGTTCCTATATAAATAACTATGTATCTTTGCCACATGCCATCCACAACTGACACTCCTAGTAAATAAAATATTTCAATAATTGTTTTCGTGCAAGTGTGTATCTTGCAAACTGGCAATGTCCTAGTCAACGGCAGACCGAACAACTATATTTCTTCTATATTTCTTCTTCACTAACTACAAAATATAAATGGCAACACCTAAACACAGTAGTACTTTGTTTGATCATTCGCTGCTCCAAAAGTCTAAATGGGTATATTAAAATTGAAATTTTAGAAAATTTAAAAAGATTTGAGTTTTAATCAAATTTTAGATGTTTTTAGATAGAGTAGAAAAATTGATATAATTTAATACTAAAATTATATAAAATTCAACTAAAACAATAAGATTTGAGAGTTGAATGGTATGTAGCTTTTTCACGTTTTGAAAACGTGATTCCATTAAATACATACCATTCATAATATTAAGCACTGGATGATAAAAAGTGAAAAATAACACGCTATTTTCTAAACCATCCCGCACGTTTTAGATTTATAGCTAGTTTAGAAGATAATCTATTCATCTTATAAATACTAGCTTTTTAGCGTTTTGAGTTTATTCAGTTTTCAGTTTACCCATCCTAATGATTCCGCTAGTTTATTATTCAGCTATTTCACTATTCTGCTATTAAGTTAACATACCAGTCAAGCCTTTGGTTTTTTATATTTTTAATTAACAAACTCTACTAAATCATTTAAAAGTATTTAATATTTTTTAAAATTTACTATTTAAAATATTTTCAATAATAACAATAGATTTGATTTAGTTTTTACAATATGAAATTTTGAATAATTTTAATTGGTTTTATACAAATATCATGTTCAATACCATAGATTTAGATAAGATATTTAAAAACTATTTGTTAAATAATATAGAATTTTAAAATAAACAGAAAATCTTTTTCAATTTCAGTTTCAATACACTGCGTTAATCACGCTTTGACTTCTATTCTATATTCGAATATACGAAAATACATTTTCCCATTATTTAGATTAACTCTTAAATTGTTTAATATTCTAAAAATAATAAATGTACGAAAATGATTTTTTTCACCTACAGGCACACGACGTTAAATGACAGCTACTGATAAAAATAAAATATAGAGAGACTCTCTTGCCACCTGCTCTAAATGTTTTCCGATGATCACAAAAACAAAATGTCTTAACCAAAATGTAAAATCACAACTTTAGACGACTAGTCGCGCGGGTCAAACTTGCAATCGTGCCTATGTGTCTCAACTCAAAACTTTTCTCCCCCAAACCAAATAAACCCAACCACACCCGAAACAGTTTCCCTGCATGGCGATCTTGAACTCTTCCACGGTGGACGGATTGCCACCACAAGGTCAAGTGTTCATAAATTTTCGTGGGGCGGATTTACGCTCTGGCTTCGTCAGCCATCTCGTCGAGGCGTTGGTAAATGATGAGATCAACGTCTATATCGACGACTACGAAGACAGAGGCCAAAACCTTGATATACTATTGAAGAGGATAGCAGAGTCTAAAATCGCTCTGGCTATCTTCTCCGGCAAGTACACCGACTCAATATGGTGCTTGAGAGAGCTGGCGAAGATCAAGGAGTGTGTGGAGGAAGGCAAACTTGTGGCGATTCCCATCTTCTACAAACTGGAGCCATCCACCGTGAAAGAGGTCAAGGGAGAGTTTGGTGATGCATTCAGGGACCTGGCGAAAGGTGATGATAGGAGGAAGGAGTGGGAGGAAGCTTTGAAGGCGATTCCTGAGATAATGGGTATCACTTTGCACGAGCAAAGGTAACTGACTTTTCTCAAGTGGTTGAGAATTTACCAAAAAGCTAGACCCTTTAATTTTATCCTAGTAGTGATTACAGTTGTAGATAGAAAAAAAACCTTTTATGGAAATTCAGGAAGATCATAATCTCATTTTCTTACTTTCCTCAATCGTATTGCAGCAATGAGTGCGAAAAAGTCAAAGAGATTGTAAAGGCGGTTAAGAAAGTGCTCAACAACATTCCAATCGAGGGAAGCAAAACCGCCTCTGTGGGTCCTTCTAAAAACAGCAACTCCGGAGCTGCCGGAACTTCCTCGGGAGGCGAAAAGGGGTGAGACTTTTGGAAACCAGCAACGCCTGAAGGAACTGACAGAGAAGTTGGATCTTAAAGACCAGGGAACTCGGATCATCGGAGTTGTTGGTATGCCCGGAATTGGTAAAACCACACTGCTGAAAGAGCTCTTCAAGGAGTGGCAGGGCAAGTTTTCTAGGCGGGCTTTCATGGATCGAATCCGTGAAAAGTCAGGTAGCTACGGGGTAGATTACTTGCCCACACTGCTCTTAGAAGAGATGGAGTTGAAAAATCCTGAAACTGATGCTTTTGAAGAACAGTACGAAGCTCTTAAGTGTCGACTAGAGAAACACAAAGTTCTTGTCGTTCTTGATGATGTTAGTACAACAGAACAGATACATGGTGTTCTTGGGAAACATGAGTGGATTAAAGAAGGAAGCAGGATTCTCATTGCAACAAACGACATGTCCTTAACAAAGGGTCTGGTTCATGATAATTACGTGGTCCGGCAGTTGAACCACAGAGACGGCTTACAACTCTTTTGTCACCATGCCTTTGATGATGATCCAAAGGGAGTTTTCGTGAAGCTGTCGGAAGATTTTATGCAATATGCCAGAGGCATTCCGTTAGCTCTTAAGATATTGGGTTCAGAGCTTCATGAGAAGAGGACGAAGCATTGGGAAGATAAAACTGAAGATACTCGCTCAAAATCCCAGCACTTATATTGGAAAGGTCTTGCAAGTAAGCTACGACGAGTTAAGTACACAGCAGAAAGATGCATTTCTCGACATAGCCTGTTTCAGATCGGAGAATGTGGATTATATTGAGAGTTTACTGGCTTCGTCTGAGCATGAATCTGCTGAAGAAACGAATGTAGTGAAAGCTCTCAGGAACAAGTTCCTGATTGATATTTGTGACGGCCGAGTGGAGATGAACGATCTACTGTATACATTTTCGAGGGAACTTGATCCTAAAGCATCCACTGGCAGCAGACAAAGGAGGGTGTGGCACCATCATGACATCATTAAGGGAGGCGCCATTAAAATCCCCCATAAAACACTGGTGAGAACTCCACTGAAACCTCCAACATGCATGCAATAAAATACTGTTTTTGTTTTCTTCTGGCTAACCTCTTGTGTACTATTGTGGTTACCAGAGAGCTTCCAATGTCAGAGGTATTTTTCTAGACTTGTCTGCAGTGGAGAACGAAAAAAGCTTAGAGTGTGACCACTTCAGCAAGATGCACAATCTCCGGTATATCAACTTCTACAACTCTCATTGTCCTCAGGAATGCAAAACCAACAATAAGATAAACATCACTGATGGTGATCTCCTCCTACCATCAAAAGAGGTACGATGCCTCCATTGGCTGAAATTCCAACAGGAGAAACTTCCAAACGATTTCAACCCAATTAATCTCGTCGACCTTAAGCTGCCCTATAGCGAGGTTGAACGACTTTGGGAGGGTGTTAAGGTGTGTCTCTTACTAATCATTTTATATCCATACTGTGTTGGGTAGTTTTTCTAATGGGTGGCTAAATGCTTTGGTTATCACAGGACACACCAGTCTTAAAGTGGGTCGATCTTCGTCACTCAAGTAAGTTGAGCACTTTGTCAGGGCTATCAAATGCTCCGAATCTTCAAAGATTGAACCTTGAAGGGTGCACGAGTCTTGAATCTCTTGGGGATGTGAATCTGATGTCTCTGAAAACTCTCACCCTCAGCAACTGCACAAACTTCATGGAATTTTCGTTGGTTTCAAAAAATTTTGAATTTCTATACTTGGACGGAACAGCAATACGTCAACTTCCAAATGAGATAACCGATCTCCAGAGACTAGTATTATTGAACATGAAGGGCTGCAAAAAGCTGAAGAAAATCCCAACCTGTGTAGGGGAGCTGAAATCTCTTCAAAAGTTGGTATTCTCTGGTTGTTTAAAGCTGAAGGATTTTCCAGATATCAAGAATAGCTCTTTAAACATTCTACTTTTGGATGGGACCTCCATCAGTACGATGCCGCAGCTACCTTCATCACTGCAGTATTTATGCTTAAGCAGAAATGTCGAGATTAGCAGCCTCCCAGCTGGTCAGTCAACTTTCTCAATTTACATGGCTTGATTTGAAGTACTGTACGAAACTTACATGTGTTCCAGAGTTGCCACCAAATCTTCAGTACTTAGACGCACACGGATGTAGCTCATTAAAGACAATTGGGAAACCGCTGGCTCGTATCATGCCGACTATGCAGAACCATTCCACTTTCATTTTCACCAACTGTGAGAACTTGGAGCAAGCTGCAAAGGAGGAAATCACATCGTATGCGCAAAGGAAATGTCATTTACTATCAGATGCTCGTAAACACTACAATGGGGTATCTTACTATATCTAATTTTATGTATATTTCAAAAAAAAAAACTCCACAATTTATGATTTTCCTTATTTATTACTTTGCAGGGTCTTGTCTCAGAGGCTTTGTTCAGCCTTTGCTATCCTGGATGTGAGGTGCCTTCGTGGTTTTGTTATGACACACTTGGATCTTTGTTGAAACGCAAGCTCCTCCCACATTGGCATTACAATAGGCTTTCTGGAATAGCTCTATGTGCTGTAGTCTCATTTCCTGACAAGAAGCATTCTGGAATAGCTCTTGGCCAAGATCAAATTAGCTGCTTCTCGGTGACATGTACCTTTGAAATAAAAGCTGAAAACGAGTCTTTGATCCTCTTTACTAGTCTGGTAGGAAGCTGGACAAGAGAGGGAGACAAGAAAGACAAGATTGAGTCAGATCATGTTTTCATAGGCTACATTAGTTGCCCACATACCATAAGGTGTCTCGAAGACGAGAACTCTGATAAATGCAGTTTCACTGAAGCCTCCCTTAATTTTACTGTGACAGGTGCTACAAGTGCCATAGTCGAGGTGTTGAGGTGTGGTTTGAGTTTGGTGTATGCAAAAGATGAAAACAAAAACAGTTCTCAGGAGGCAAAATATGATTTGCCTGTTGAAGGGAGCTCTCGCGAACCTCAAAACGGGATGATAGAGGAGCAAATAGAAATAGAAAAAGAAGAAGGGGTGGTGGTCAACCAAAGAAGAAGCCAAAAACCAGAAGGGTTGATAATATCCAGTGCCATACAAACTTGTAGTGCAAGTGTAACTCCAAGATTTGAAGATAAACTTAGTGGTCAAGCAAAAGGTTAAAACGGGAAACTTACCGTGGCTTGTGGGAGAAGGAGCAGGAGCTAGGGATTGAGCGCCGGCAAAAATGAAAGCGACCAAGGCCAGAACGGCAACGGAATCCCTCGACGCCATCTCCGAATGTTTCCCGGTAGACAGAGAGAATAGAATAAGATTACAAGAGAGGCGAAGCTGAATGAACCTGTGCTGTGCGTGAAGAACTCCGGCGAGAGATTGAGACGGAGAAGAAAACCATACGATGAGGTGAGAGAGAGAATGACTAATGGCTGGCTGAAGCTCAAGAAGAAAAGAGACCTTCTCCGGTGGCGTCTGATCACAAATCGGAGACGGAGGGGCAACCGCGAAGCTCTTCTATTTTTCTATTTAATATTTTGTTTTCTTGTGAATTTATGGTCTACCGAAAGATTTATCAATAAACCAATCTAGATTGAATTCGGTACACAATTTAAGTACGGTCTATATTCTCAAACTTAAAACTTAATCAAACTAAATGATACCCAGAAAGTTGAGTTATACATGGAAATAGCCGTTAATTAGGTTTGTCTAAAGAATGAGTCCTACAACTTTTTCATTAGAAAACTCTACAAAATCCAATAAACTAACTTCCACTGGTAAAATCTACGCGTCTACCTGAATCTGAAAGGGTGCACAAGACTTGAATCTCTTCTAGAGATGAATTTAATTTCTCTGAAAATTCTTACTCTCAACGATTATTCAAATTTTAAAGATTTTCTGTTGATTTTTGAAAATATAGAAAGTCTATACTTAGATGGTACAGCAATAAGTCACCTTCCTATAAACATGGAGAAGCTCCAAAGACTTGTTGTATCGAATATGAAAAACTGCGAGAAGTTGGAGAAAATCCCAGACCGGGTTGGTGAGCTGAAAGCCCTTCAAGAACTGATAAATCTCAAGTGTATTCCAGAAATCAACATGAGGTCTTTAAACATTTTAGTTTTGGATGGGACGGCCATAGAAGTGATGCCACGGCTACCCTGGTAAACGCTACAATGGGGTCTCTATCTATACTTTTTTATTGATTTGTTGCTCTTTGTATCCCTCTCCCAAATTGTTATGTTTATTCTCTTATTATAATTTTGCAGGGTCTTGTTTCAGAGCCTTTGTTCAGCACTTATTTTCCTGGATGTGAAGTGCCTTCGTGGTTTTGTCATAATTCAGCTGGATCCGAGCTGGACGTGAAACTCCTTCCCCATTGGCATGACAAGAGGCTTGCTGGAATAGCTCTATGCGCTGTAGTCTCATTTCTTGACTGCCCAGATCAAATCAGCCGTTTCTCAGTGACATGCACCTTTAAAGTAATAGTTGAAGACAAGCCTTGGGTCTTATTTACTTGCCCAGTAGGAAGTTGGGTCAGACAGAGAGACGGAAAAGACAAGATTGAGTCAGACCATATCTTTATTGGCTACACCAGTTGCCCATATAGCATAAAGTGTCCTGAAGACGAGAGCTCTGGTAAATGCAATTCTACTAAAGCCTCCCTTGAGTTTGCTGTGAAAGGCGGTACAAATGAGAACGGAAATTTTAAGGTGCTGAAGTGCGGTTTGGGTTTGGTGTATGCAAAGGATAAAAGTAAAAACAGTTTTCATGAAGCAAAGTATGATATGAGTTTTCAAGAAACTTCAAAAGGGGTTGATGGAAGAGCAAAGAAGAAGGAGAAAACGAGAAGTGATGATGGACGGCCAAAGAAGAAGCAAAAATCAAGAAGGGATGATAACATCCAGTGTCAACAAAACGGTGATGCAAGTGTATGTAACTCCAAGAAGTAAAGATATATTCAGTGATCAAGCACATTGTTGAGGATCTCCGAGGAAGATGTGAATCTTCTCCAGATGAAGCATATTCTTACACAAAACTCCAACACTTGATGGAAAAATCCAGCATGAGTGAAGATGAGATTCGACTCAAAGGCCTGGCAGATTCAGTAGGAGAAACAAACTTATATGTATGGTGTGTCACCAGAGAGGGATACTGATGACATTGGTGAAGCAAATCTTTCGCTGAACCCTTTGCATCTTCATAGTAATTAGGAATGCAAGTGCAAAAACCGACATTGAAGATAGATCACAGTTTACCTGCATTTTAGAGTCTTCGGTGACCCTCTCAAGTGACAGAGTATAAAGGTAACTTTTTATTTACTCCCCATAGAAACTGTCCACGGAAGATTCTCCCTTAAGACCTTATGTTGCTGTTTCTGGTTAGTGTTTTGTTTATCTTTCTGGTGTGATTCTCTGTAAGACTCTGATATGGTTGAATTAAGAAAATACTCTTTAGAATTCTCTCTCACGATGATAATGTTAGAGTTAAGAATCCAATTGTAAAAAAAAAAACCAAAATTTTTACTAAGATTGTAGAAACAGATAGAGTAAAAACTCCCAGAAAGGAACAAGTTCTTGAGTGCAATTTGTTTTTGTTTGCCTGTTTTCGATTTAGAGGGAAGTCTCCAATGAAAAGTGCCTTCTTAGAAAAGATTATCAGGAGGATTGTCGCCAAAACTCATATTTGAACGTTATGTAGAAAGAAAAATTTGCTAGAAAGATGCCACTTTTTTTTTTCTTTCTTGTTTTCATTTTCTTAACCTGAAAGTTGGTGCGGCTTTGTTAGCCAGAAGCTCTACAGGGACATCTGATTAGCTTCTTCATAGACAAACTTGGGTCGATTGGTGAAGATCTCACCATTTTTTTGTGAAAATCAAGGAGTCAAAGATCATTGATGGTTCATATTCTCCAAAAGGTATACGGAATCGGTATGGTGCGAACGTAAGCGAGAGGATTGTTGAAGAATCAAAATAAAAACAGCTCACATATAAACATTTAGTTAATACATCACATTTTGTTTTTTTTTTTTTTTTTTTTCACACTGTTACCTAGAGACACTTGAAAAAAAACGAGTTACATAAATCAGATTCGATATTTATAGGTTTTGAACCAATAAATAATTTTCAGTTTGAAGAGTTATGAGTTGGAACATCTCTCCATTGCGCCTGAACTTCGATTTCTGGATTGGAGTGAAACCTCATTTCAGATGATAGCAACGGCCAGAAGAGCTGATCCATACTTGGTAACTTAATGATCAAGTATAGTTTAAAATTTTGGAAATCCCCAAATTATCTGCGTAAATTCCAAAGTTGTACGTAGTACTTTGTTGTTTTACTAATTTAGAGAACTTTGTTGTTTCAGATCTTATTTCTCTTATCCCAGTACCGTCAAGTTTCAATTCTCTAATGGTCCGTAAAGTTTCTGGAAAATATTTGATCCCGATGCAACCAGAGAGATTAAGAAATTGGAGATTCTCTAGCTGATCAGTGTTTGGTATGCTCTCCAAGCTTTTGCAGTCTTGAAGATCGAGTTTTTCAAGGTTACGAGCGTTTGAAAGTTCCGCAACTTGAACTAGTTTCATACAGTGCCTAAGATTGATGCTCTTCAACCTTGAGAAGCTCTGAAATGAAACGAAAGTGGAAAGAAGAATCGACATCATATATCTATTAATTTTTGTCATCAACCAAAGGTAAAAATACATTTTCATGAAATTTCATCTTTTCTATGTTTGGAAAAACACAAGGACTTTGTGGCTCTAATGAGTAATATGAGAATATTGGTATTAGTACCGAAAAAGATAAATGATCGTATCTAGTATTTTTTGTTTATTTATGAATAATCGAATCTCTTGAATCTACATAACTATTCTACTACAAAAAGAAAAAACCATCATACAATTAGGTGAATCCAAGAATTCAGATAAAATTATGTCAAAAAATAGTGTGTTTTAAAATTGATAAATAATAGTCGTGGCAATTGTTGGACTTTTCAAGTTGATGTCTAATATCCTCTTACTTATACATTACTGTTTATCAATGCTGTCTAGTTTTTCGATGTAGGACTTAGATTTTAGATTGATATCACAAATTAGTTTTCATGAGAACTCTCATTATAAGATTTTTATTGTTTTTTTCTTCTCTCACCTTATTATATCCTTGCCAAAGTTTGTGAAATTGACAAGCAACTCGTTGGAGAAGAACAAGTTGTTTATTGTGAAAGTGCTGGGGCAAGGATTGCACTTGCACATGAGCGGGATGTCCCAAAGGGGGAGGAAGATCCAAATCTGTGTGCTCCTCAAGACTAAATGTAATTGTTTGTGTGGCACGCAACACAGTCTTCTTCGAAAATCTGTATTTTGCATGTTTAGTGGCCTGAAAACACAAAAGAGAAAACCAAACCAATGATTAGGAGTTAGGACATTGTGAAAAATCAAACCTATATATGTCCAAATGTAATAAACCTACCAATACTCCATATTCTTCATGTTCATGATGTTCTTCAATATTGGAGTATAAGCAAGCAGATGTGTTCTTCTTTGTGTTCATAAGTGCATCGTAGCAGATTCTGAGCAACGCTTGCTCTAGTTCTACCTTTGTATTGCCCTTTACTTTATCGGCATAGGAGCGAAGAGTAGATGGGTTCCCATCACAACATTCAATTACATTCATTGAAAGATCCAGAAGAATCGTCCCTATCTCATCTTTCCCAAAGGCACACCTCGTGAACAGCTTCAGAGCATCTTCATCATTTAGACCTGTATGCTCATAAATCTCGTTGACATTGCATTCTTCAAGAACTTGTCTATCTCTTGAGGTTATGATGATCAAGCTCCCTGGAGCAAACTGATCAACTGCTCCAAGAAAAGACATCGCGTCTTGAGCATTTTTTACATCATCTAGAACTATCAGAACCCTTTTTTGGCGATGGCATGCCTCGGAACCAGAATCGTTTAGGTGAAACTCTTCCATTGGAGTCATACACAAGGAATAATCAGGCAAAGGCTCAAGCTTCATCTCACTGTATTCTGCGTGGAAATTTTCGAAAAAGCGAGGATCATCATAGTCTCTAGCCATTCTGCGAAAGACCGCTCTAGCCAGTACCGTCTTGCCAGTGCCAGGCTCACCAGAAATACCTAGAGTACGAAGGCCCCATGGTTGCTTGCATAGCAAGTTTTCTATATCCAGTTCCCGGCTGTGGATCCCAATCTCTTCTGTAGGATGGAGTTTCTCAAACACAGCTTGCACGATCTCTTCCAGAAATTCGGATTCTTCACTGTAAGATACAAAGTTATTTAAATTTATATTCGACGTATAGCAAAATTTACAGATATTTTTAATGTCTTGCATATTTTCAATGAGTACTTTCGCTTCTTTTGTATATGCACTTTACCCTTAGAAAAAAAAATAATATAACTAGAAAAATTTCAATCATTGTTTATATTACTAATATTATCTCATCTTTCCCAAAGGCACACCTCGTGAACAGCTTCGGAGCATCTTCAACATTATGTTTGCCAGAAAATAACAAAATTACCAATTAAAAAAATAATAAAAAAAATCCACAGAAATCATATTACTAGAAAATTTTCAATCATTGTTTTTAGAAGAAAAAATGTGATCAATCAGAAGGTTTTTTTTTAACGTCTGATTATGATAAGATCTCGAATCACAAATGAGTTATAATCGGATAAAAAAAGGTATGCGAATACACTAAATGACACTTAGTTTAAAGAGATTGGTTTATTTTAAGAAATTGTTGAGAACCTCAAAAGATACTTATTTTTAAAAGATTAGTTTATTTATTTTTTTAGACTAAAATTTAATTATAAATTCTAGTTATATTTAAATACTAAAAAAACTTTTTGTTTGAGATACTTTTAGAAAACCTCTAACAGAGGTTTCTTTCCATGTCTCTCACCAAAAATAAATTATAAAATAATAGAAAGTAAAAGAGAGAAAAAAACATTTTTTTATTTAAGAAGCATGAGAAACGGATTTTACATTTTAGAGTCTTGTTTTATGTTATTTTGTAATTGGTTTAAATTTTCTCTTGATTAATTTTTTTTTTAAGATATCTAACCAATAGAGATGAATTTAGAGGTTCTTATTGATGTGGATATAAACAATCATTTCCCTTTTCCTTTATCAAGAAAAAAATATTTTCCTTTTATCCAAAAAAAGAAAAACCACTATTTCCGTTTTATCCAAAACAAGAAAAACAAATATTTCCCTTCCAGCCGATAGTATATCAAACTAGGGCTTAAGAAAATTCAGAGAAGTTGATGTATTCGCATACCTTTTTTTGTCATTATACTCATGGCCTTGTAGTTCCGCAACTTGCGCTAGCGCGCGTCGCCACTTTTTCACCTGATCCGCAGAGTTTGACATTTCGAGCTTTGTGAACGCATCACTTAACGTACCTGATTGTTGCTTCACGGCCAATCGACTTACGCCATAGAACACCGGAACCACCTCGTAGCTGTTCTTGTCACAGCGCGATAACTTAAGATGCTTCGCCAGTTTCTCTAGGCATGACACGGAAGATGCGTAGTCACTAGAGAAAATCACTAAACAAAGTTTGAGCCCGTATAACAGATTGATTCCTTTGCAGTCAAAAGCCGCCATGAGGTAGCTGATGAAAGAAGAGACTGATGGGTCATTTTCGTTGTAGGTTATGTTCTCGGTTTGCTTGGTTTCTTCGTTTTTATCCATGTTTGATTGATTGGAGCATTACGACCAAGACACCAAGTCGTATATATGTATAAAGCTATCTTAATTATATAGTAATCAAATAATACGAAGCGATATCGTCGAAATATCGGAGAATAATATAATGTAAGTAAGACCCTTTTGCAAAAAAAAAATAATCATGTAGTGTAAATAATATATCTTATAGCTTCTTTTTATTGAAGAATATATTATGTCATGTAGCTTGTTAGAAATTTAGAATGGTAAACGCATGGGACGTGCGGCCAATCCAATCTTCTGAAAGTTGACCAGGTTATGCAGTTTTATAATGGTTGATTGAATCGGTTCGGTTTGGCCTCTTCATTGAGAGAATTGAAGAACCAAATATATATGTTGTTTTCAGTGTTTCAAGAAAGAAGGCTAGGTAGTCGCCTATGCGTCGGTTTAGGTGCTCACTAAACGACAGTAGATGGATCTAGGCAGATTAAACGGTTTAAATTCGTTTACTTTTTATAAAATACGACTATAATTAATCATATTATCATGAAAATTTATTTATTTTTTAAAATTTAATTTTTATTTATTATGTATTATTTTAGATTTACGTTTAGTTTAGCTTCTTCTATTTATGGTTGCATTATAGTTACTGAAAATGATTGTGGTTAGTTTAGCTTTTTCTAAGTGATTGTGTATATGTAAATTTTCTATTTATGGTTCCGAGTTCTGACTATTCATGGTTGAATTATGGTTACTTTGATTGCAATCATTTATAAATACTAGACTAATACCCGCACGTACGTGCGAGTTTTAAAAAAAAAGTATTTTGTTATAAATAAAATATATTTATGTGAATTTTATACATATAAAACTTTTTAAATATAATATATTTATTGGGTTCATTTTTACCGTACCATATAGGTGAATGATACGCTGATAGTAGGCTTAGCCGAAATGATGAACTTGATATATATGCTTGTCTAACGACTCCCTACCTAAATGTTCCTCGATATATGGCGGATTTCCCAATGAGTGTGTTGTAGTAGCATAACTACTCTCTATAAGCGTGTCTCAGACGGAACAGATCAGAGGGAAATGGGTACAAGGAAAGAAAAAGAGGTCAAAGAGGAGAAATAAGGCCGAAGATCTCCCGAAGATCCCCTAAGCATCCCCCATATGCGAGAGGCTGAAGATCCTCTAATGTTCCCCCAAAGGAGCGCTAACTGAAATAAGCATACACTTCTCTATCCCATTAAGAGAGAGCTCCACCCCCACTCTCTCAATAGTTCATACATTTCACATTCCCCTTTACCAATGACAGAAGAGTATCATGATCCTCGGACAGGGTATCCAAACTATAAATCCATCACCATCCATCCACCTTCCTGATTATCTGTTCATCGCAGGATGTAATCTAAATTAAGCATCAGAGAACTTTCGGGAGGGAAACCTATTTTCAGTCTCCTAAAGGCTCGATTCACCCGCTGCGAATGTTTGTAGGACCTAAAAATTTTCTTGTCCACAGAGTGTATACCGCTCAACCCTCGAGACTTAATCTAAGAGGCTCAGCTGTACTACTCGGACGAACACACACATCCCCGTAAAAAATCCGTAATGTTCTCACAAACAATATTACTTCGTAAATAATAATTGAGTTTTTTTTTCTATCTTGTATAAAGCTATATTTTGTATATTTTAATTTATGTTATCAATTAATTTATAACATTATACACTATTTTTGGAGAGACCTATCAAACATAATTATGATTTTGTTTTAATAATTATTACTTTTTTATGTAACTTTTAAATACCATTAAATAAAATTATTACACATATCACGTAAATAATAGTTTTTTTTCTTTCTGTATATTTTTTTATCGTCAAATTACAACTATATCCTATTTTAAATAAATATCTATTTGTTCGGTAATTGGTTCATTCATCGTCAGAGTTCCACCACCATTGTCATTTTTGTTTTTGCTAAAATTTGCTTTGAAAAATCTTTTTTCGTTTTTCACAATACAAAGAAATAGTTTTCTCTGATTTCTTTATATCTTGAATTATTTTTAGTTCAAATTCAATTTAGTTTTATCATTTAAAATCATAAATAAATAGATGTTTCATATTCTTAAAATACAGTTTTATATCTAACTAATTAAATTTATTTAATGATAATTATTTATTAGGTTGTTTTAATTTTAGTTACCCACTTGTCACTTCTAAATTAATTTAAAATGCTGATGTGTCAAGCTGCTGTAGAGGGTTATTCCCTATTCATATATATGATTTGTGTATCATAGGATCTCCTATACCGTATACAAAATCACTTAGGTTCCGACTAAGCGTTATAAACACAAGGCTAAAGGGTCACCATCGAATTAGCGTCTAACACTTTTTTGAACACTGGTTGTAAAGAAAAATTTACAATTGTTAAAACTAGCTAGCATTCCATTATATAATCAAGAAATCTATTAGTTTTTCTTATTATTATGTCCATGTGCAATTATTTAACATATATCTTTGTCAATAATCATTCATCTCTACATCATCGCACTATGATCAATTGGATACATGGATCGGCTCTGGTGTTGAACAAAAGCCTCTGAACTGCACCATAGATCTCAATTTAGGTGAATTTTCTGTTGAACCACAAGATTTATTAATAAGATTTCGGTTCACAATTTCAATACGGCTTATTATAACATAAACTAAATTTGTACCAAAGTAAACCAAGGAACAACATTTTTTTTATGTTAAAGGACCAAGGAACAACATAACCAATGAAGTCTATAGGTTTCAAATGATGATCGTGAGTGACTCTCCACATGAAAAAGAGCCGTTGATTAGGTACGTCTAAAGAATGAGTCTCTACTGAAAAACAATAAACTAATTACCACTGATAAAGTTCCAGGATTTCAAATATTCTTTAAATCGTAAGATTCGTATAGCCGTTTGAAAAAATAATTTCAAATACGCGGCAAACAAATTTGTATATAACTATTTGTATTTCATTGACGACACCAATAGAATTAGTCAATTCAATTAATATTTTTGAAGATTATATAAATTTCTGGGTGTCACCCGTCCCAAAACTGTTTCTTTAAAAAATGGAACTAGTCAATTCAATTAATAATTAAGAAAAAATCTGCGTGTTGTGCACATTTGTGATATTTTAACTATTTTAATTTTGTAATTTATTTATTATATTTGTTAGTAAAGATTTATAGGTAAATTTTAGTTTCTAAGTTGTAAATACTATACAATTTTTTAAATATTGAATTATTGAGTTAGTGAAATAATATTGTTAGGTTTGATCATATTAGTGACGTGAAACTGCCATTGGATATGACTAAAAAGAAGGTTTCTAAGAGTAAATCCATAGTGTAATTGTGGTGGCAGTTTGAGGTTCGATGCAACATGGAAAGAAGTAGTGAGTTATTAATATAAAAAATTTCATAAAAGTAAATAGTACATGATTTTCTGTTTGATTGACACAAAGAAAATATCATGAAGTAAATCTATCATCGCACAAACATATTGACACAATCAGCTCTGAAAAAATTAAAAAATTGAAAAATAATATGAAATAGGAGACATGATAAAAAAAAGATTATAGTAAAGAATGGAAAAAAATAACCGAAATGATGTTTTTGTATTTGTATTTTTTGTGTCTGAAGAACTGTTTTTGTATTTATTTAATCAAATTTTATACAAAAGAGATAGGAAAAAAAAATATGACAGTTAATGTTACTATATTATAAAAGATTTGTACTTTGTTGGGTGATTTGAATTTATTTTATGTTTGTTGGGTAAAAGAAAACTGTTTAAAGAAGGAAAAAAACTGAATAAACTTTTGTTTTTCTGATAGTTCAATAAAAACGAATCTAGTAGAATATATCAGAAAAAGTGACACATGCCAATTTTTAAGGTGGCATGTGACAATATATCAGAGCTGTTTCTGTTTCTGGAACTGTTTCAGAACTGTTTTCTGGAAAAATACTTAATTTCTAAGGTGGCATTTGACAACATATCAGAACTATTTATTTAATAAAGTAAAAACAAAATAAAAAGAGAACAATATGACAGTTGATGTTACTATATAATAGAAGACTAGGTGACCGACTTGTACCGTGTATGGACTATAAAACATTTACTATGTTCAATATATGATTAATATTATATATTGACGATGCTTTATATGTACAAAATTAATTATGTATTATAATAATATTATACAAATATTAAATAATAAAAAATAATGATAAATCAAATAAAAATATTATATATTTCAATAAAAATTGAAGAAAAAAAAACACTAACCAAGATTTTAAAATACTTTCTTAGATAAAATGTGTAAATATGATAGCTAAATAAACTGAAAAACATTAAAATATATAATAATTTATTTAGTTTTTATGGTTGTCCCGCATGCATGTGCAGATATAATTTTTTTATAAACAAAATTAGTTATAATATTTATATATTGATTAAATTTTTTATATATTATGTTTGTATACATGTACAGATATATTTTTTTATAAACACAAATATTTCTTATCGTTTTATGCCTTTTAATACTAACTTATTTTAACTTTTTTTAATCTTTTTCTAGTATTTACAATAACATATAATCGTAAATAAAAAAGTTATATTAAATAATAATTAAACTCTTATAATATGTTTTGAATATTATCTATGCTTTTCCTCCTTAAATAATAGAATCTTGCAAATATATAAATTGTAAGTATATATTTTTCTTAACCTATTGCTAATTATACCAAACTAAGTTTTACCATCTGTACATTCTAAGAGCGAGTAGATGGTTGACCCACACATTCATGCATACCAACCACCTCAATGCTTTTAGGACATATAGAGTTTCTAAAAACAAATTGTCTAATAACTAAAATTAAAATTGGACTGTAATCGAGGTTAACAAAATGCATGCACAAATTCGCATACGACGTTGACTTTTACACAATTAATATTTGTATCTACACAATTAATATTATTGTCTAATAACTAAA